TTTCTGTGTCACAGGTATGCTTTTGACTCACATCCAAGTCAACTCTGTGATTTTGAATAGAAGACGCCACATTTGCAACGCATGCGTTGACGCAACTGATAAAATTTGCCCAACTCTCCACTTTTGATGCACGCGTATGCGGAAAACCAACATTAACAACAAAAATATATAGAACGAATTTAAACCAGCTGATTTTTGTCCAATCAAATTGACGCGTTTGGTTTGCGGCAACGTTTTCATTGTGCTACGTCGGCATCTTCTGTGCGTTTTGTCAGTCAAAGGCATCCCTGTGACGCAGAAAAGAATTTCTATCTGGCCAGGCCTTGAAAGACTTCCTTCATCCGTCAATGCATTTTTCTTAAATTTTAGATCTACGAAAGTGGAAACTGATAAAATGGTAGTTTACTGTTGCGACAATATCAAGAAGGTGATGAGACTGTTTTGATATGTGGTTTCCACATTGCTTAGTACAAATTGTTCAACTTTTGGGAAAGCATCGTCTTACTCGTACTAATTGTGAAGCATATTCATAGTCGAAATAAAGTCGATGCAACTTTTTTGACAGATATTCTGTTGAAAATTATGTCCAAAAGCTCTAATTATGTATAGAATCGGTATTGGGTACCGGGAAGAAACTATTGGGTACCGAAATCTTTCTGAAGTATTGGGTACCGAGTATTGGGTACCGAAAATTCAGCACATCACTAGTGATAAATGCTATGATTAAAGTTTTGCTACCTTTCCACATATTTGCCAGCCACTTTAATATTGGTCACCGAGTAATTCAAATTAGCAATAAACCGCGATATTTTTTGAAGCGTGCTTTCACAGATGATTAGCCATGCCATATTTGAAGATCAGTCATCGTCATCGTCAGCGCATCAGTAACATGGCTGACGATGGCCGTATCGTCACTTTACTGAAGACAGACAAAAGAGGATTAAGAAGGTAGTAGTGTGGAAATGTTTTGAAGAGGGTTGCCACCTTTTGAGAAGTCTAATTAAATTATTTTATACCCAAATGAAATAGTTTTAAGAAATATTTAGTTTTACAATTTAGAATATCTTTGATGTGCTGCCCCAGTTTAAAAGGTTAAATTAAAATTATTTAAAAAATTAAATGAATTACTAAACGATGGTTATCAATGGAAATAGGTTTAAAATCCTTCGTAATGCTGAATTTTAATTTAAACATAAAATTCGCGTAAATTGTAAATAAGAAAACCCTGTCCAGGAGGCATGCGGGGAAGCACTTTTTTCAGCCCTTATTGGGTAAAGCCTCAGTTATGCATACTTGGCATTGCATGAGAGTTGTCACATAAAGAATCTGTTAAATGAGATTTGCGTGTAAGCGGTTAGTTACCCAACGCACAGCATTAAATATGTAGAAGTCTGTTGGTTTTTGATTTCTACGTCAAAATTACATTCTATGCAGTGCAGTGAGCTATAAGTCTTTTAGAATGGCTTCACTTAAGATAGCCCACCTAAATTATCTTCTGGCTATGCACATACAAAATGTAAAAAATGATTATGAAGCGCATTGTGGGATATGTGGAGTTTTGCTTAGTGGTGAAAGGAAAGAATTCAAGACCACGTTAAAGGCGCCAAACATTTATTCAAGCTACATTAGAAAAAAGAGAAAATGTGTTCTTTTATGATTAACAAAACTTGAAAGTTTGAGCATTTCATGCAAGCACATCATCATTAATCATTCAGCTCTACTGATTGTGCCACAAAACTACATTGCTTATAATATCAGAAATAACTTCGAAATAATGCAACGTCAGAACCAAAGCAACAGCACTTATAAGAAATACATTAGCCCCATATTCACTTCCGTCTTCGTTTTTAATTTGGATGATTATTTAGTGCCCTGGTCGATGGGTTCAGGCTTATGGCAGCCCTACCCTACGCATGGATTCATCGTCGAAACAGGATTACCCGGCAGTTCTGGGTGTTCTACGACCCACTTAAAACCAAAGCTCTCTACCGAATGAGCAAAGAAGATATCTACAAACTTACTGCTGTGTGCACAGGGTACTGGCCCGTTGGGGTACATGCCGAAAGGATTGCCTTCTTGCACTTCATGGAGGATCATTACTATACCAAATGCTAAAATTTTAGTCTGTTTTCGACGTGGTCTAATGTACATATGTACATTTATGCTCGTTTTCATACTTAATATGATGAATAACAGCTACATATTTACATACAGATGTATGCAGTTTGCTTTCGTCCCTTTCCGACAAAATTGTTTGGGTATTTGCTTTTTGTCCCCCTGCCACTCTTTCATATCTATTGACAGAATAACGTACTGACTGATGTTATTAAATTAAATCTTTTAAGTTCATAATTACTTACATATATACATATGTGCAGGGCCGGATTTACCTCAGGGCCAACCCAGAGGCCCCCATCTTAAACGTATTAAGGGTACTTATTTTTGAGTATTGGGTTGTTTTAAGTAATTTAGATGTTTCGGGATATTGAAATCTACGTAAATGTATTTCTGTTCATATACAGCGCGGCGACGAATAACTGTTACCCAGGTTTTTTTGAGAAATGCAAGGGGTCCTTTATAGATTTTGCGAAAAAAAGTATTTTATTGTTAATTTTCCTCAGATTTTACTTTAGTCGAATAAATTAGTTTTTAAATTTTAATTCTTATTTAAGTTTGCCAGCAGTGCAAAATTTGAGAGAAAAGTTCATTTGGCACACAAGTCCTTTTCAGGTGTATTTTTTTTTAGGCTTTGTATAAAAAATTACAAAAAAAAACGAAAAACTGTATAGGGTTAGTCGAATAAATGGCCGCCCTAGTCGCCAGTTCCGAGTCTATTCGATTTTTGAGTGTGAGGCCTTATGTTGGACAGAAGGGGGAGCATAAGGGACTTAAAATGAAGAAAATTAGCCTATGGTTACAGAAGGTATGGAATGAATTAACTGACGAAGACCTGCGTGCCAAATGAACTTTCCTTTCAAATTTTACACTGCTGGCAAATGTAAATAGGGATTAAAATTTAAAAACTAATTAATACAACTAAGTACATTCTGTGGAAAATTAATAATAACATACTTTTTTCGTAAAATCTATAAGGGACCCTATCATTTCTAAAAAAAAAAAACGGGTAACATAGTTTAACGATTGAAAAATATTGATATTCTACACCATATCTACAACAAATTGTTTTTCCGCATATAACGGGTGATTTTTTTGAGGTTAGGATTTTCATGCATTAGTATTTGACAGATCACGTGGGATTTCAGACATGGTGTCAAAGAGAAAGATGCTCAGTATGCTTTGACATTTCATCATGAATAGACTTACTAACGAGCAACGCTTGCAAATCATTGAATTTTATTACCAAAATCAGTGTTCGGTTCGCTTTACGTCCGATTTATGGTCTACATAATCGACCAAGTGAGCAAACAATTAATGCGATTGTGACCAAGTTTCGCACTCAGTTTACTTTATTGGACATTAAACCAACCACACGAATGCGTACAGTGCGTACAGAAGAGAATATTGCGTCTGTTTCTGAGAGTGTTGCTGAAGACCGTGAAATGTCGATTCGTCGCCGTTCGCAGCAATTGGGTTTGCGAAACACATTTCGAACCGAACACTGATTTTGGTAATAAAATTCAATGATTTGCAAGCGTTGCTCGTTAGTAAGTCTATTCATGATGAAATGTCAAAGCATACTGAGCATCTTTCTCTTTGACACCATGTCTGAAATCCCACGTGATCTGTCAAATACTAATGCATGAAAATCCTAACCTCAAAAAAATCACCCGTTAAAATACATAGAAAACTTTGAGCGCTTTGAGCGACCTCTAAATATTATTTGATTTCAACAACAAAAAAAACAGGGGTATATTTTTCGATATAGAAAAATCCGCATTAAAATTCTGAATTTACTTTCCTTAGGCCACTCTAAATACATGCATACATATAAGAAAATGAAAAGTATTACATCTAAATGGGGGTGACGGTAAAATTAATTAAGTTTGTAAATGTTTAGTAAGAACCTGGTCAGCTAAACGTACTCTTGTTCAGAGTAATAACGCCAATACGATGCCCTTCTGTTATAATAATATTTTTGCTTAATTTCAGTGATTGACTAAAGCTTGTAGCCATGCGCCGCGCAGAGCAGTGTTCAATTAGTCAAGCGTTGAAGGAACGTGTTGAGACTAGAGATGGGCACGGGCCTAAATTTACACACGAGGCAACCGACACCGCAACCAAAAATATTATGATTTTCGGGCGACGGTTGCGACCACACAAATTTCTATGAGGAACACAACATTTCATTTGCATGGCAGTATTCTGGTAAAATAGATCGAGCCAGCTGACTTTGCAACGGTCGAAGCAACATTCCCTTTTTGCTTCAACGGTTGCCTTGTGTGTAGTCAGCATTAGAAATGCAACCAATCGAGCTACATTCACAACAGCCACACAAAACGACACTTAAGCTGAGATGCCAGATAAAACTTTGTAGCTTTGCGTGACATTTATAACTTTTCCAGCAAAGCGCCAGACGCAAAATCTATGCCACAATGAACGCCAAGAAAGCAATTTTGTACTGCTTTTTTACTCGTCAAAAATGCTGTGGATTTTATATATTTTGCTTTAAAATTATTAGCAATGTAATTAAGTTTTATGTTTTATGCATGAAAACTCGAATTTGGATGAAGCAAAATAAATATTAAACCGGCTGATTGTCAAAGCTCGCAAAAAGATGGGAGTTGGCCATCTTTTCGCTTCGCGCTGCAGCTTCAACGATCTATGTGGCATGCTTTGTGCATTTTCATGCAACTCATCTTATCTGTCAAAGCGAAGCAAAAGTTTTATGTGGCATCAGCTTTAGGCTTACAGTGTGAACCTGTGATTACTTTTGTAATCCCTTCGCAAAATTTTCTTAAAACCGCACACTTAAGGTATATATACGCGGCACTAGCAGCAACAAAAGATTTAGGAGAAAAAAAAAAGAATATCGAACTTACCGCTTGTCCATCGCTGTTATCCATTCCATTGCCATTTTGTTTCAAATTTTCACGATTTCTGCGAGCAGGCTATATTCCTTTTATATATGTATATATATATATATATATCTTCGAACACACAACAGCAACTCAATATAAAATCGATTTTAAACAATTCGACTTCTTTGGAAACTTTTTGTTGCCCTTGTTTTATTGTATACCTGGTCACCTAGTTACATGACCAATGTCGGCGATCTCCCTTAAGTGCCGTTTCACTATTCCCGTGGGCAAATCGTTACATTTAGTGGTAATTATTTACCGTTATTGTTAATATTTGTCTTTCATGGCAAGGTGCACTTTTTTGAGAAAACTGTCTTGTAACTGTTTCACTTAAATACTTGCATGTAGAATTTATTTGTTTTGTTATTCGAACACTAACGCACGTACATACATGCATACATGCATACATGCATACGTAATATGTACCAGCTTTCTTTCTTTTCGCTGAGCGACGGATGAAAGATGTTTGGGGCTTACCTTCGACAGTAATACCAACAAAGCTATGCTCTCACTTAAATACACAACTTTAATTGAATCCTTACTGAGGTTCAGAACTTGCACTTTATTTTCGACTTGCTTACGCTAACCGTTTTTTTTTTTTTGTTGAGTTTTGTTTGCCTCCCTCTACCATTCTAACATTATCGTATTTTGTTTTTTTTATTGTATTATTGTCAGGTGTGTTCGTGAGTTTCGTTGTGCTTTTAAAGAAACAGTTGTGACAACCGTGGTAGTAATAATTCAATCTAGAATGTTGCGACCAGCGTAACACAGCGAAACACAACCACACAAACGTTTCACAGGCAATTCCCTCACGACCAGCGCTTTTTATTAGGGGACCGCTTATCGATGCGGCAGGCAGGACACCTGACAGCGTGTTTACTCGTGTAATTGATATTCTTTATGTCAAATATGACCGCTTTGATGCTTTCCAATTGTTTCTGCATCAGTTTTATTAATGTTTGTGATTTATTGTGCCACTTTCGAGTTGTGGCTTTGATTTTGCCTCAAATCGCCACTGGATATAGATCTTGTTGTTGCGGTTGTAGTCGTTCCGATAGCCAAGCTCCAACTATAAGTAAAATCAAAAAAAAAAAAAAAATATGAATTATGGTGACTTGAATGGATTATACAATGAAGGTTATGAAAAGTAAAAAAGGTGGTTTATTAAAAAGGGTACTTAGTACACTGTGCTACTTATTTCAAAAACAAGTCAAAATTGATACAAAAGTGCAAGGAAGAAGCTTATAATAGGTTTGTTCCCCAAGCTAATCGAAGTCGCTTCGAGTTACACATACGCGTTCCGCCATTAAGTTTTCGAGTTTATTTGATAAACGCTGACAGTTTGAACTTTGCTCGAGTTTTTCTACAAGTAGACAAGCTACAAGTAGACAGCAAAAAACCTAATATTGGGTGCAATTTTCATTTTTTTAATGACTGACAGACCCGAGAAAACTCATAAATATGTATACTTAAAATTATGAAAAGTAAAGTATGGGAAACCACATCAAGCCATTTTTGCCACTTTTTCGTCGCCATATTAACAACCTGACAATTAAGTAGATTGTGACATTGCGTGCTACCGTATGCAATATCTAAAATCCTTCAAATTTTGTTATTCATTGCTGGTTTATTTACAAACATTTTGCTCATATAATCGAAATTTGAACAAGCAAAAGGTACATATTTTGTTGGGTTCGGCTCGGTTATTTGTACAAAAACCAAAGCCATTGCACAAATAAACGAATATTTCCCCTTTTGTTTTTGAAAGAGGTCTAATGCTCAAAAAGTTGATAATTGTGTTTCTAGTTTTCATGCTAACAATAAATCATCAATTTTGTTTCACACCCCCTCTAATATTGAACAGTAAAATGTACTTATTTTTACCCTAAGTAACAACGATGTTGTCGACGAACATACTAGAATTGTATAATACTCACTTCTCTGAGAAAGTCATGACGCCTATGGATCGCAAAGTAAATTCCGTTTTCAAGTTACTTGAAAGACATGGACAAAGACAATATCGAAATGTGTAATTTCAGTGTCTCAATTACATCAGAAACAATCGTATCCGATATAGAAAACTGTAATAGTCCTGGCTAGCTACATTGTGTAATAATCAGATGGCACAATGGCACTAAAAAATTTTTTAAATATCTTCACTAAAATTGTATTAATGTAAAAATAAAGATTTTGGCAAGTAGTTATCGAATTTAAGGTAAAATTTTAACGTTTTTAAGATAAGATATTAATTATTTTTAAAAGGTTAATACAACTATTTTATTTATACTCCCAAATTTAGGATATAAAATCCCCACCCACCAAAAAAAACTTAAATTGGGTAACGCCGCTTCGAATTTTTTACAATTGAGCAATTGTCAAAAATCTCATTTTTAAGCAAAAAGTTGTTTATTAAAACTACCTTCTTTTTTGTATCATGACACCAAGCAATAACCATCCGAATGATTCCTAAAAGGATCTAAGTGCATTCCCTCCCCGCTTCTTGTGCCCTACTTCTATGATCAATGCGTTGTAGACCGATCCTTCACATGGAATATGTATTCTAGATATCTCTCACACCTCCTCCCTGTGACGAGATAATCTTTCCCCTTAAACTAGTTATTTAAAACTAATTGAACTTTCTACTCTGGCTTCTCACAAAGAAATTCTAGGCAAAATATTCACACGGTGCGCTTTTGGACAGGATTTAACGCAAAAGGCTTTCCCAATCCAATTGTTCTTCAAATTAATTAATTAATTAATTGGAAATTAAGTTTTGTACAAAAAATATTCACATACTTTTTGCGATTTTTTGCAAACCAAAAAAGTTATTGAGCAAATATGACTTTAAAAACATTTTGGTTTCTAATTTTTTTTAAGTTCTAACTGCCATATCTTCTGACATACACAAGATACAAAAACGGTTTGAATACCACTTTACGGGGGTTTCACAGCTTTAAAACGAGTATTATAACCACTACAGTCAAAGTAACAAGTATCGTGACTGATCGCAAAAACTTATAAAATAAAAAACACGGGTTTTCGCTGTTTTTGCAGATTTTAAAGATCAGTAAAGTGAAATAAATATTATTTGCGATGGATAGGCGAAGATTTTTCGTCCACAATTTCTTTTGTAGGATTTTTTTTAACTTAGCTAGAAAAGTTATCATACGAAAAATTAAGGATAATCGAGATATCTTTCGAATCCTTTCATAGAAGATTTCTATTTTTAGCTCAAATCATTTGGTTATGATGACAGAATGGGAATTTGGAGAAAAATTGGATGTGGAGACTTATTCAAGCGTACCGTGTTTATGATGAAATCACTAATGTACAGCCTCTATTTGGAGTCCACTGGAACATCCCACAGGCGTCAAATTTTAACCAGATATAACTAAGGAACGATAGGTCACATGACTTCGAAATTTGGTGTGAAGACATAACTAAAGTAGGCGCTTATAGTGAGGTTAATATTATTGAGTTCTTACAGGGGGGCGCGGAACGTTCCATAGCCGTGAAATTTTACATTTGCTATATCTTCGAACCCTAACTCACATGACTTTGAAATTCGGTGAGAACATCTATGGTAAATATATAAAAATGAATTTATACAAGAGGGCGTGGCGTTTATAGTAAACTGAAAGAGAGTGAGTATTTTTTTATGTAGCAATCAATCCAAGTGAATTTGGAATTTTTTATGAGTTACGACTTTTTGCATTTCAGTGACGATGTTGTTACGATATTTTGTATTTCAGGTGACGATATGTACGTATTTCACATTTTTCAAAAACGAAATTGAAGTTCACATGCATACTTATGTATGTATATCTACATACCTACATATAAACATATATGTACATATGTACATGTGTATAAGAATATAAAATACACTATTCCCATAGCAGATTATAAGGTATGCCTGTGACGGTACTGCAGAAGAGGGTCGGCGCCATGAGTCTACACATACTTATGTATGTATGTATGTATTTACATAGGTAGTACTGGAAATGTGCAGTATACGTACTATAGAAAAGAAAAGAATTTATGAAATAATCGACCCTATTATGGTCGTCGACTTCGATGCAATTTTTTCGTCAAAAAATTGTCCTCATCCGTCCAACTCTGGTTTCGCTGACCACAGTAGTTTTGCGAGCAAAACCTTTCCTCAAAAATACTGTGGTCAGCGTAGCTGGCGTTGGACTGGCGAGGGCTGTTTTTTACGAAAAAATTACATCGACGTCGACGTCGACAACTATAATAGAGCTGAATATACATTCATACATATATGTGGATGTATGTATGTATGTACACATGAACATGCAATAAATATACACACATACATATATGCTTCCAGCAAAGGAAAACAGTTTCTAAAGTAAGCGAGGTAATCAAATATTTTCTTACCCTTTAAGATCTGGGGTCTTGGTTGTTTTATCCGTGGCGTTTTGACACGATTTTTTTTTTCAATTATGTACATACATATTTATGTTTGGCATGTAAAAAAATTATAAGCCCGCACGTGAACAACCCAACCAACTACATATGTATGTACCGTAGATTTTTCGTCTGCAAATGTTTAATATGCCGTTTAAATACTTCTAGTTAGAGCCGAAAGCGAAATAATTTTTTTATTTTTGGATTTCATTTTAAGCTTAATTTCTCAACACTTCACTTTTTAATTCATGTATGTATGTAAATCTGCATGTATGTACATATGTTTGTCAGTAGTATTTTTCACTTTTTTATATGACTATTTCAAACATTTCCGTTGAAACATCCGCATTCCCTAAAAGCTCGAGACCAACTAAATTCAAAATAATTCGGCGCTTTCGCTTTCGCAGTTTGGTGAGACTCACGCGATAATTCAAAAATTCAACACACCCCCACAGAATTCAGCATTCCTCTAATGCCTCGAAAGTTTCACATATTTGCATTTTTCATCGCGTACTATCACCAAGCGTTCCAACGAAAATTGGAAATTTGGTGGCCGGATGATCGAAATTTTATCTTTTTTACTATTTTATATTTGTATACATCTGAATGTACATAGTTAAGTAGTGCTGGTATTTGGAACTTTCTATTCTTCAATTTTTGTTGTGATTATTATTAATTCCTTTTTGTTTATCAAATGCGATTTTCCGTTCGCATATCCAACTTGATTGTCGGTTAAAGCACAACTGTTAGCCTGACTCCGCGGGGCTACTCTTCACCACGTTTTCGTCAGAGCTTTTAGTTGCATCCCCTAAAGTACTTTTCACAAGCAACAAAAGTAGAGCGGAGCGCCGAAATACTTTAATTTACCTGCAAACGTTAAATTGCTCTTTTCCTCCCAAGCCGCCTGATGGTTTGAGTTATTGGCCTTATAACTTGTATGGAGCACAACATACAATATTTATGTTTATCAATGCATCGGCACTTCAACCTGTAGGCGAAACAACAGTGATCAAATTTCAAGAGGCCTGTGTCATTTAAAATTGAAATTATTAAAATAAGAAAACATAACGAGCGTAAGCAAAATTTTGTCAGCCTTTCCCCCTTCCGTTGATATACTTGGTACCTTTGCAATTTACGATTTAAAATTTTTAATAGTAATTAATTTAATTTTTTAGCACTTATGATGGCTAGTTGCGATCGAATCTCCGGGCTCTAAGTTTGGGAACAATTTTTAGTTTATATTTACACTTTATGGGGCAAATCTGAACACTGGGCGATTTTCTACAATATTAGCAACGTTTTTAAGGTTAAATCTTTTTCGTAATTCTTTTTAAATACATATATACCGTCGTTTAAATTATAAAACCGCGTATCGTCGTTCTGCAAAACCGCGTAACCGACATTTGCTGCCAAAAATTGCATTTGCTCACACAAGCTCTTGGCTCAAGCCTTATCAAATCGTCCTGAAAAATATACTAGCCAGAAATGCGATTGCTTTATGAAAAAGAGAACCATTTTGAAATTTATGCAACCTGACATACGCGGTTTTGCATCATCTTTTTAATTTGAAACCATTTTCTTTTACAATAAAAAAAAACTAAACATATTTTTTTATATTATTTTTCCAATAATGGGGGAGAAACCCTTTGCTACGAGTGTTTGCTTCCGATAACTCAGAAAACAATTAGGAGATTCACAAGGTGTTATATGTCGTCGTATTCTCAAAATGTAGTACAAGTAATTTTTTAAGAAAAAACACAACCGAATTCAATGCTCCTATAAAAAGTTGGAACTACCGTTAATTTATGATCCAATGATAGGAACTAAACCAAATTAGTATGAGAGCCCCTTGAGTACTACCTTTCCGATAAATAAAGAATTAAAAAAATCGGGGTTCACGCGGTGCAAAGTTATCCGGTAACATACATAAAACAAAATATTCCAATGACTTACGAGTTCATCGATGTTTTGCGTGTACACATGGCGTATGAGTAACATTATTTTCTGTACATCCATCCCACTGGCAAAAAATAGATAAGCACCAGAGAACAGCTTTGAGTATGATCGAGCCTTTTTGATCACACTC